AATAATAATAATAATTGTCTTCCTATTATCCTGAGATCAATGGGAGTGGAGAGGGGTGGCTGCTGTCAATTACACTACGCCTATACAAGACAAATTTCTCACCTAACCTCCTTGCCCTTGGCTGAACCATCCAATCCTGAACTTCCATGGAGAAGAAAGAAGTCCATGGACAGGGATTTTCCTTGTCAGCTGCTCCTGACCACAGTGCTGGGGTTTGAATGCTGAAGGTGCCCCAAGGCACCATCCCAAGGGTATTTTCCCTAGAGGTCTCTAAGAGTTGGGAGAAATTTAAGACGAGCAAGCTGCCTTCCATCTGCTATCCCCAGGGGTCACGTGCCCCCAGATGGTGCAGGATGAGTGGGAGCAAAGGGCAAGGGGGAAGTATGTCAACTGGAACATCACAGGAGTCTAAATAAGGACTGCTGTTTGCTGTCCATGTCTTATTTTTTTGATCTCACCAAAGGAATACAACCCTACAATAAACACTCCAGCCTTACGTAAATAAGCACCAGCCTGCAACTGCCTCTGTAGCCAGCTCAGTGGTTTCCTGAGATTAAGAACACAGGTATAACCCTTAGAAGGTGCCCCAGCTAAGAACTATAAAAGTGATCCACAATGAAAGTGATGAGATACTGTGGTGGGCAGCCAAATGGTGTTGGAGTGGGGTGGGAAATGGGGGTAACCACTACAGAATCAGCTTTTCTGGGGCTAAGAAAGCCTAGGAGAAAGGCTGGTTTCTGAGCAGTTCAGAGGTAGGAACAGATGAAACAATTTTATTTGGGCTTGAGCAGCCAAAAGACTCTTTGGAAATCCAGGTCTAAGCCTCTGGAGCTTTCTTTTCAGCTGCCCCAGCTGCACATTCCTGAAAAGCCAGCACTTGTGCGAGGCATCTCCCAACTCAGACATGAGTCACGCCAGCTTATTTTAAGTCCTGACCTCTTCCCGGGAAGGGACTCCAACATGGAAAGCCACGTGCTGTGAAGCAACCATGGACCCCGGCCAAGGGAAACAGAGCCCCCCGCCCCCCCCCCACAGCTTCCTGACAGTGTCCTTCCCAGAAGCCCAGTGTAAGCAGGGGCAAGGAGCAGCTGTGGGCACTCACACCCATCTCCCTCGCCTGGGCAGAACAGTGGGCCACACTGCGCCTGGCAGCTCTTATGCCCATCACAATGCCGCTGACGGCTGGGGCAGGGGGTAGCAGGCAGGGAGAGGAAGCCCCGTGTTCTTTTCTTTACAGGACTCTGGCCTTGGTTTTCCAGTCCACACCAGATTGTCCTGAAAGGCTACTGCAGTTCTTTGGGGATAAATGGGCAGAGGGAGTACGAAGCCCATGATCTCTTGGCCAAGTGTATTTAAGCCTTTTAATAATTCATATCCCCATCTCCATACACAGCCCCACTTAAAGAAGGATCCCAGGGAAACGTAAAAGCTTTTCTGATTGCACCGGCTCATCCAGCATCTTCATAAAAGGTTCTCAACTGGCCTCTCAGAATCGACGGCAGCAATGCTTATGAAGAAAAACTAATAGTTCCAGCTGGTAGTCATTGAAAAGTCACTTAATATTTCTCAGTACAAGGAGCTCGACTTAATGGGACACAATGTTTTTTTCCTAAGCAGTTGGGAAAAAAAAACCCTTGACATCATATTAATAATGTCAAGTTTTATTGGCTCTCTCATTTGACATGATATTAAACTTTTCAGACTCTATCTCGACTGAGGTACAAGGTTGTTAAAATGCGGACAGATTGGAGCGCTACAAAAATGTGGCGTGGAAGAAATGCCTGTCCAGGTGAGTGGAGAGAGATGGAAAGCTAGTGACATGGGGCTTAATAGACAAATCTACTTAGTGGAAAAACTCTTAGTACGTCACCTGCTTCCCTACACTGACTTCTTTCTGAGACCAATGATGCAGGCACTTTATAGGAAGATGGGTTCAGAACTCTGTGGCATAGGGCTCTTCATTGTCCTCTGCAAGTCTAGTTAGTTTTCTAGACAGAATAAAGTGAAGACAACATGTTAAGACAGATTACAGTCTGTGAGCCTAGCTTTGCTCCATAGCACCTCCTTGGGACAGAAAACTCCCTGGGTTTCTGTTTTTTAAAATTAATTAATTAATTAATTTTAAAGGCCAGCAGCCTATTGAGCTGAAAGCCTCAGGGGCTAACAGCTTTCCAGGCTGAAGGCCTTTTTTTTTTTTTTTTTTTTCCTTTTCTTTTAAATAAGGAGTCTCACTCTGTTGCCCCGGCTCGAGTTCAGTAGTGCGACCTTGGCTCACTACAACCTCCGACTCTTGGGTTCAAGTGATTCTCATGCCTAAGCCTCCCCAGTAGCTAGGATTGCAGGTATGCACCACAATGCCCAGCTGATTTTTGCATTTGTAGTAGAGAGATGACGTTTCATCATGTTGGCTAGGCTGGCTTCAAACTCCTGACCCCAAGTGATCCGTTCACCTTGGCCTCCCAAAGCACTGGGATTACAGACATGAGCCACTGTGCCCTGCTACTCCCTGGGTTTCTAATCGTGACAACAATAGGTAACTGACATGACCTGGTATGAGCATGTGGCTGGCACCATGCTAAGTACTTACCCGTGTTTAGGCCTGTTGGATCCTCACAAAAACCAAATGAGTTAGATGTCACTGTTGTCACCATTGTCCCCATTTTAAGAAAGAAAACTGAGTTTAAGAGGCATCACGTGATTTTCTAAGTCTGATGGCTAGTAACAGACCTGGGAATCCTATTCAAATGGGTTGTAGCTTAAAATTATTTGGTTACCATCCTTCAATACAATGGGAGCCATTATGAAGATGAAAAATGTCACATGTGCAAAGTCTAGGAACCCCAGTCTAGCTCTTGGACCTCTCCTTACCCTCGACATTCGTCCTCTTTCACTATTTTCACTGTAGGGGACTGACAGGCTGCTTGGAGGTTTTTCCGGCAGGCAGTCAGCACTGACTTCGCCTGTCAGGCGCAACACCGTAAATAACATATTTTAAGCAAAGAACACCCCAGCAACCCAATAATGCATGTCTAAAGGCATTTTGACGTTGCAGAGATACAGTAATACTTTTATGCTTTGTTTAAAGAAATTGTTTGCAGCATATTTGTAGTGAAATCACTCCAAAGAGTTTATTTTGGATGATTGATTTATAGGAATCCGGCTCCCATACCCAGAGGATGACACGTAAATCATATCTTCTTTTCATTTATAATAAGGAACAAAATGATCATATTTTGACAAGTCTGATCATTTTGGGGGTTGAGCAGGTTCCCTCAGTGGGCTCAGTCTATAGCTCACAGAACTGATAGAATATTATTATGTCTCATTAAAATCAGCTGCAGCTGCTTCAGATGGCTGCCCCAAAGAAAACAAAGCTATTGGTGGTTTATCCTGGAGTAGTCAGTCTACCTACTGATTTTTAAGAAGGGGACAAGTGGAAATCTTTTTAGTTGTGCTTGCCAAAGCCCGTCTTCCCTGGGTTTGAACTTAGAACATCTCCTTAAAACAGGCAGCCCCTACCTAGGGCTGACATCAGAAGACTTTCTGTGTCTTGTCCTCCGCGTTGATGCTGCTGCAGCCTCTGGCCTTCTGACCCCACACAGGCTGCATCACATTTCCAGGCCTAATGGGAATCTTAACTGCCCAGGCTTAACGGGGAGGGTGACATTTGCTGTTTTGGCACCTGCCCTCTCACTCAACCAAACAAGCTGGTTTTGTAGCTCTCATTTGTTTCCAGATTCACAGCTGGGGCAGAAGCTGCCTGTGTCACATCCCCAGAATCTGTGCTGTTATTTCCATATTTGTGTTCAGCTGCGGAGGCTGGGCTTTGGGTCATGCTGAGTGGAGTCAGCCTTCTACCCTGTCTGAAAGTCTCTCACTCCCCTACAAAAGACGGCAGGACTCCTCTCCTGGTCTCCCCATCCACTGGGCTGGGGCCTGATCCTGTACTGCTCCCACTTCTCGAGAAGTGAGTTCAGTCTGTGAGAGCCACACAGTGAAAAGACCAGAAAAGTTCTCCCGGAACAAAACCTCACCAAGTTCTCAGGGTCCGTGGCAGTCTGTGTAAGAGCAGTACGGTGAAAGAGCTTCCTTCTCTCATCTCCCTCTTTCATCTTCCCTAATCCCCTCCCCTCGACTTATCTTTTTTTTCTCTTTGCCTCCAGCCCCCCTCCTCTTTCTATTCACTATCAAGAACAGCCAATTTAGCGGGCGGCCATACAGTTCCCGCAGAAGGCCCCGGGATCAGTGGCTATGGGGAATGGCACAGCCAGAAGGAGAAATCAAAGATGAAATGAGCATTCGGATCTTGCTGAAACTGAAGCTGAGCACCCTTTATACATTATTCATGTGTGACATTGTCACCCTTTTCTCTACACTCTCCACTGAGCTACAACAGAGTCTTGAATCCTTGTGGCTTTGAAATAATTTGCACAATGACACTGATCTATCTTCAGCCTTGCCGACACCCCACACAGGACCAAGTTCTGGTCTGGCTCAGATATAGCTGCATGTCAGGTCAGCATGAAACCAAAATCATACCCTTTTGGCAAGACACTTCTCCAAAAAAAAAAAAAAAAAGACACTTCAAGGAAGTGGGTAACAAAACAATTTGCATTTGGTGTTGCTCTTGATACCTGAACCAAATGGTCAAAATCCTAAGGAACAAGGGATCTTGACTGGATTATTTAAAACTGTGAATTACTGACCTTGGGCAAGTCCTTAGATTTCCCCGAGCTTGGATGTTCCATCCCCAAAACTTGGAGTTCATAATGACTTCCTTACAGGCATGCTGTGAGGACTGAATTAGTTAATACGTATATGTGGATATGCTTTGTAAACTATAAAATACTGAATTAATATAAAAGCAATTTAAAAAGAACGAAGTGTATTAGGCGTTCACGATGTGCTTGCCATTATGCTATTGGCACTTACTTGCTCATTTAATCTTCAGAGAAATCCCCGTGAGGTTGATACTGTTTTTCTCCCTCCCTTTTTTTTCGTGTCAGGCAGGTAATGCACTGATGTTGGAATAAGGCTTGAAGGAGGCACATCTGACACGTGTGTCGGAACACCCAGTCACTCTCTTATCAACTACAAAAGGACCTCCCCTTTCTTAAAGATGAGGAAATTCAGGAGGCTCAGAGAGATGGTTAAGGGAAGTCCAAAGCTGGGATTCCAGTCCAGGCTGTCTCTTCCCTCTCACTCTGCAGGTACCCATTCCTGGTCTAGGAGCAGTTAACTCTCCTGGCTTTGTGCACAAACCCAAATGTGGATTTACCAACATGTCCAATATTCGGCGACCCTCCTCGGATTTCTCCTAAGCTGGAGGCAGTTAGATGTCTTGGGCCTCTACTACTTCCTTTGTACCGGTTTTCCACTGACCTGAATGAGCAGGCCAGTGACTATTTTCAAGGTTGGTTGGGAAGAGTTGGTTCTCAGCTTGGGATTCCCAGAACAGATGCACTTGGGAGCCTCCTCCTGGCCTCTACCTCTGCGGAGCCCAGGACCAATCTTTTGTCCCAACTCATTTTCTCAGGAACTTATCGAAGGGAGCTACGCCCTCACAAGAGTAAGCTACCATCTCCAAGAGCCAGCACAGAACTTCGGGAGTGCTAAGTGTGAAGAGAAGCGGATGTGTGTGCAGCCCGTTTGATGGAGCCCATGAGAGATCGTTTCAGAGGATCACAGTGACAGGACACTTAGCCCTCCTCACAGGCGTGAGTTTGGAATAATTACCCAGGGCAGACTCTCTGAAAGAGGAGGTAAGCTGGCTAAGGCTCTTAGAAGGCAGGTCTGATGACACTGCTATCTATCAGTCCAAGGCTCAGGACGTGCAGGGTCGGGTATTAGCTGATTATCTGATTCTGTCAGCAAACAGCTTTCAGCAAGTCCACAGAGCCAGCCCCCAGTTTTCCTCACAGAAATGCTAAGCTTAGACAGTTGCAAAGGGTCCTGGTATGAAGTTCTGCCCCTGGAAGGTGTCCTGGGTATTTACAGTATCAGGGTTGGAGGCAGATCCTGCAGCTCTGAAACACCTTCCAAACTTCATGTGGCCACATGGTTCTGGGAGATTAGGCCATGGGAATCTGTGGTTTCCCTCACTCCTGAACTTGAACCTCTGATTCCCTCTCCAGCTGGAGCCTTTAATACAGTCAGTCTACGGACATAGTCTGGGCTGTTGAAAAGCTTTCCACCTGCAACCTTGCTGGAAGTGGAAGAGAAGGACAGGAGGTGGGTGAGGAAGAGCCATTTCTGTGACAGAAATCAAGGCCAAGCTGGTAGACATGCAGGTGGACTTGAGTGGCAATTCTTTCCAATCAGGAGAGGCCCAGATGACAGGAGGAGGCACTAAGTTTAGACATAAAAAAGCACTTACTTGGTTTTGAAGGCTAGCCAGGATACCTCTAACAAATGTGTTATAATAACTCAATTTTATCATTTACTATATTTACTGTATTTTATTGTTCTATGATTTTTCTTTTTTTTTTTTGGAGACAGGATCTCTGTCACCCAGGCTGGAATGCAGTGGGGCAATCTCGGCTCACTACAACCTCCGCCTCCCAGGTTCAAGTGATTCTCCTGCCTCAGCCTCCTGAGTGGCTGGGATTACAGGTGAGTGCCATCACACTCAGCTAATTTTTGTGTTCTTAGTAGAGACGGGGTTTCACCATGTTGGCCAGGCTTGTCTCGAACTCCTGACCTTGAATGATCTGCGCACTTGGGCCTCCCAATGAACTTTTAAATATTATACCACTTAATCCTTCCGACTACCCTATAAGACAGGCATGATCATTAGATTTCCATTTCACATCTGAGAAAGCTGAGGTCCAGATAATTTTTCTTTCTTTTTTGTTTTTTTGGAGACGAAGTCTTGCTCTGTTGCCCAGGCTGGAGTGCAGTGGTGTGATCTTGGCTTACAATAGCATCTGCTTCCCTTGTTCAAGAAATAATTCTGCCTCAACTTCCCGAGTAGCTTGGATTATAGGTATGTGCCACCACTCCTGTCTAAATTTTTTTGTAGTTTTAGTAGAGACAGGGTTTTGTCATGTTGCTCAGGCTGGTCTCAAACTCCTGACCTCAAATGATCCACCCACCTCAGCCTCCCAAAGTGCTGGGATTACAGGTGTGAGCCACTGCAGCCAGCCAGGTCCAAACAAGTTAACTCATCTAAGGTCAGCAGTACAAACAAGAATCAGAATGCAGACCTAGGCAATTTGATGCCAGACTCCAGGCTCCTGACTGCTGCTCGCCAGCGGCCTCCATAGAAAGAGTAAAGAAATGCTGGGGAGAGCTCCATCTGACCTGGCTCGGTACACACCCAGGAGACAGAGGACTTCATGGAGGGCGTTCAGCCTGTGGGGATCTGCGAATGTGGCATTGTTACTGATGCGGCTCCTTCCTTTTCTCCTTTCCCACCCAATTTCTCCATGTAGCACCCCTCCCACAAGCTGGCGGGAGGGTGGAAGTGAGGATAAAGGATCCTTGAGGGACGCTGAGTCCAGCCCAGGTTGCCTCTGCCCTCATCTGCTCTGTTCTTAGCATAGGTGCCTGACTCCTACCTGTTGAGTTATAGGCCACTGACTTCCAAGTCAGCCAGGAAGACAGCCATCTTTTCCACTGATCCTCTGCCCTGCGCTATCTGGCAAAGTGGTACCCACTGGACCCCGCAGCTCTGGCTCTGCTGGAACTCCCTCACAGCTTAGCAGGGGTTTTAAATCTGGCCCATGAGGTCTTGTCAGTTTCAAGAGCCCCCCCCCCGACCTTTTAATAAACATTTCCTTTGTTATCAGAATTATTTCCTAATTCATTCCCTTCTGTCCCTGAAAATCTAAATCCTATTTAAGTTAATGCCCTTCATTTTCATTTATAAAGACAGATACAAAATAATTATTTCCTATCTCCGTGGTTTCCTTATCTTCTCCTGTCCCAATAATGCCTTCAGCAGATGAACATTTCCCGTCAGTTGAAACAGTTGGAGTGTTTGTTTGTTTGTTTGTTTTTCACGCTTTAAAGAAGAAATATAAAATGCCTTCTCGGGCTTTGTCTCTTCCCTTCTCCTCTTTTCTCTTTCTGCCTTTCTCAGCTCTTTTCTTCTCACTATCTGCCTTTCTCTCCAGGAGCCCCTCTCTTCCTCCTGTGATCCCCACAGTGCCTTCTCTCTCCCTCTCCTGTGCCCTCTCCTGCTGTCCTGGCCCTTGCCCAGCCCAGCCTTGCTGGGTGCCTCTCATTTTCCTGTTGGTGCTGCAATCTCTCTGTGGCCTCACATCTGAATTTCATCAGCCCCTGAGCCTGCCTTTGAGCTCAAGTCCCCCCAGCTAGTAAAATTGGTTTGGATGAGCAGATGCAGTCTCAAAAAGAAACATTCTTTGGTTTCCTCTCATGAAAACTAGTGAGCAGAGAATTCACAGTTCCCTTCTCGGGGCACCTCTTTGAAGTGTTTGATTGAAAGGAGAGGGGATGGAAAGGGATAGGGTGATGGGGGTTGGTAGTGGCGGGAACAAGGATTCCAGCTTTAATTAGCAACTCTGAAACCAGTGACCCAGGCTTCCGGCCACCCGCGCTGTTCCTTGCCCATCTGGGTAGGGGCGATGCTGACTGTGATTTTTGGCTGTCTGTGCCAGATCCAGTCTTCCACTCTCCTCCCTTTTGTTTATAAAACTCAACGCACAGTATAAATCTGGGGTTTGAGAGACAGTCATTAATGGAAGTAGGCTGATTTTAAGGGAACCTGTTCTGTTCTCAGGAAAGAGTTGTTTAAATCCTAACCATTAGCACATGCTGAATGCCTTCGATATGCCAGCTATGTAAATGATCTCATTTACTTCTCATTAGGATCCTGTGACCTAGGCGCTACTGTTTCCCTATCGTATGGTTGAGGAAACTAAGGCTCAGAAAGACTGGAAACTTGCTTACGGCCCTCAACCAGACGGGGTACAGCCGGGCCTCAAATCCAGGTTTTGCTTCATGTCCCTTGCTCTCTGACATCCAGGCCTTCAACAGAAGGGATTTCTGTTACTCCTCTGGCTTTCAAGTCTTTGTCAAGGCCAAGAAGGAACTGTGAAGGGCTCTTCTGTGACGGTATCTAACAGGTGATCTCTGAGATCTTTTACCTTTGCTGGAGAATGCAGATTACAAGGCACAGAGATGTGAAAAAACCCACAAGAGAAAAATGCCTGAAAGCATGGTGCTATGGTGAGGTCAAGGACTGATGGATGGGGAATGGGAGGTACCTACATCAAGTCCCTTCGTTTCGTAGTCAGGGAAACTGAGGCCCAGCAATGAGCGGAGGTTTACTCTTGCCTTCACTTGGCTCAGCAGCTTAAATTTGCTGATCTAGCTCTGCCCTACAGAGAGTTTTCCTTCATCATATGGAGGGAGATGTGGAAGCCACCTGGGGGTCACCCCAGGGTGGCTAGGAGACTTAGAGTGCAGAAGGGGCATAGGATGGCCAGCAATGGCCAGAGGCTTCAGGATAAATGAGCAGTCATGAGGTAACACTTCTAGACTCCTAAACTCTGAAAGGGTAAGAGTCCCCATGGCCCCAAGTCATAAAAGAGGTACCCATTTTTGGTCAGTGGATGGGGCTGGTTAGCAAGTGCTGCCTTTCTTCTGGCTCCCCGGTCCGGGGTACCCGGTCAGGCCTTGAGGAGCAGATGACCTGGTTGCTCATATCACTTGGGCTCAGCAACATGCACAGGACCTTAAAATACCATCAGTACAACGATTGTGCAGCTCAGGCTGAAGGGCAGGAAGGATAATGTCAGCAAGGAGGGTCTCATAGCTGGAGACCATTTGCAAAGCAGTGCAAATCAAATAACTTTCACAGAGTGGGACACAGGGACCCAAAACCTTGGCAGCTGGAAGAACATCTCCCCAGTTTGATGTTTGAAAAGTGGTAAGAAGCCTTCCTGTCTCCCTGTCATCCTGTGTTGCTACCATTAGAAGCATTTTCTTGATTCTAGGAAGCACCTCTAAAAAGATATACACGTAACTATTAATAGTGAAGAAGGGCATGTTAAGCCAGAGTGTAACTGGTTTGATATGAAGCCATGAAGGACTGGGGCTCCAGGACAAGTATGATTTGGTAGGTGTGTGAGTTGCTA